GTTAAGGAAATTATTTGAACATAAAAAGTAGAAAAGGATGGTGGCAATTATTTAAATGACTATCAGCAAATGATGGAACTCTTCAATATGGCAAGAAGCCAAAGCTGCCTCTTTGCACGGTCGTCCAGTGGATCCAGTGTGGTCAAGTGGGCAGCCATTGATCCCTGGCTACAACCGTTTCATCAAGACCCATTACTATATTTACCTCTCTCTCCTGAACCAAACATCAATTCACATAAACAAACATGATTTCCACATAAACAGTGGCATTTAGTTGGACGTGTAGTTGATGACAAGATAGCGTGGATGTTCAACTTGTATGTTGCCATGGCTACAAAAATAGCAATGTTTCAGTTGTAGCTTTTAACACCATTATCAGACAAGTGATGGCTGATACAGCAAAACACATGATACATATTTACAATGCCACACTAAATTCAATATTAAAGTCAACACAACTCTACTACAAGTCACGGTATGGCTGATATGTGTCGATGTGCCTCTAGATATTTACTCACTCATTCACTCACTACCACTACAACAGAGATTCAATATAGTCATCATTAGAAGATTAACATGTGAAATCATTAGTCCATTTCAAATCAAAATTGTTGAGATAAGCATGATTAGTACCCTCTGCACATGTTGCAAGGTTAGAAATAAATTCTAATTTTCAGTAATATGCAAAGTCTCCATCTATTTCATGATTAGATTGCTAGTCCACAAGGAACTGTCACAAGCCCTTCCTCCAGTTTACCCATCATTTTTGAACCCTACTGTGGCTCCAAGGACAAAAGACTCCCAACAGAAAAGATAGTCCTCAGTCATCATTATTTGTCATTCATATAATCATTATGATAATGCTTTCATGCAAAACGTATAAAGAGAAGGTATAATCATGAAAGTATCATGAAAAATACAATAACATTCTTTTCTTGTCCCTGTGTAATCAAATCTGAAGTGACTGAGTTTGGTTTTACTCCACTTTTAGCAATATTCCAGCAACATCATGGCTGGGGACACCAGAAATGGGCTTCACACATTGAACCCATGTGGGGAATGGAACCAGGGTCTTCGGCATGACGGGTGAACACCTTAACCACTAGGCTACCCCACTGCCCCTATCAAATCTGTAAGTGTAGTCAGGGATTTACCTTGAGTCCTGTTTTTGAGGGTCCCTGGGACTCATACTCTTAAATTTCAGGGTCCTGGACTAAAAATGGGGGTCCCAGACACTTAAATATTATTATTAATAGTGTTATTGTCTTGTGTATCATGATTATCACATTATTTGTTACAGTAATTGAATTGCAAATGATACCATAACCAAGCTTGTAGCAAACTCTTTGATAACTTATAGTTACTTAGACTTAGACTTACTTAGAAGTATTTAGACTTTTTCTGCGTCCCTGTGGATGCACTAATAAATTTTGTTGCGTCCATTGTCAATGTTTATGCGTATAGGACGCAGGAATTCGTGTCCTGTAAATCCCTGTGTAGAGGGGTGTGTATTTCTGTTACCTTACTCTGTCATTTACCATGTTTACCATGGTAACATCATAACAAAACCTGAATTACAGCCAGCTTTCAAAAATAATAATACTATCTACATGATAACTGAGTAGATGTATTGAATAGGAAAATATCTGCTGAGTCATTGAATACCTTGAGTGATACAAATCACTTTAGCCCAGTGTTTCATATTTTCCCTGAATATATACATTATATAAATTGCCATTTGTACATCATATTGTAGGCATAGATTCCATACCATACATTCCTACATCTTTCAGCATGTCTGCGTGTTCTAGCATGATTAGAACAACACATAACCAAACTTGATCTATTCATCACATGTAGGTCTCCTTCAAGTTCATGCACTAAGCACATCATAATTCCACTCTTCATCAGTTATATAGGACATGTATTCTGATAACCCTCACTGATAATATCCATACAATTACACATGAATGTATAGCAAACCTGTTTTATGTTTGACTGAGAAATAGACAGACACCATACTAAATGTAAGGTCTCCAGGCGAAATGTCTGTACAAATGATTTTAAGGCCACAGTTTACATCCATGGTTTCTAGTATTTACAACATGTTGGCTTAATGTAAATACAAGGCAGTGTTACATTATGTACACATGATCATATGATGACATCCATGTTCTTGTTCTGAAACAGTTGTTAGGGAAATACCTTGTCTTTATCAAGCTAGAGTCAGTGTAATGTGATAGGCAAGTGTAACATGCATCTCATTTTCAAAACACATTTCAAAGTAGGCCTTAAGATTTACAAGGTATACATAGCACACTCCTTGTCATTGGGTATGAATAATAATTTTGCTTTTACATATTGCATTACATTTGTGATTTGCTTGTGAACATTTTAACTCACTCATCATAAACAGTTTGAACAGCTATTTAATAATTACAGCATCTAAATCAAGAAAACTACATTCAAATGTCTTAGGACATCAGAACATAAATGTATTTTCACGTTTAACACATTTAAGAGCAGTGAAAAGTGTTTATGTTTGCAGGGTTTGAAATATAGTAAATTACCGACCGTATTAACAAATTCAAAGGGACCTCTTATTTCAGATTGTTATATACAGTCATTGATTATACATACTTCAACTAAAATATACAGCAACTGGCCGGGACACTAGACTTTCTTCATTTTCAGAGTGGTAATCTAAACTAGCCACATATTCTAACTAGCATGGGCTTTCTTCGATATATTTGCTTCAGGGTTTGTAGTGAGTGAGTGAGTATGGTTTTACGCCGCTTTTAGCAATATTCCAGCAATATCACGGCGAGGGACACCTCAAATGGGCTTCACACATTGTACCCATGTGGGGAAACGAACCCTGGTCTTCGGCGTGACAAGTGAACACTTTAACCACTAGGCTACCCCACCACCCCTCAGGGTTTGCAAATTGTATGACTAGCCTGGACCCTCACACAGTTGGTTATATCTGCCAGTTCATTAAAAGTATGTTTGTAATAGATGCAGTTTACATTAACATAAGTCTGATAGTTTGGGGCTAGTAAATAAGGAAGGACTAGTGACATTTCCTTGTAGACTGCCTCTGTAGCAGTTTGTTATTGCAGACAGATGAAAACCAAATCATCTTCTAACCCTGAAAGCTTATAATACAGTAGATGTATTTTGATGAATAATTCATAGACAACTGTCATGATTCTGCAACGTATCAGAAATCTTTTCTTAATCAAATTTGTATAAATATTTAGATTAAAAACATCTCGACTTAATCACACATATCCTCATCCATACTGAATAAAAGTGTTTACATTACAAGCTTCTCGACTTAATGACATATATCTAAATAATAATAATGAGTATTTATAAAGCGCTGTATCCAGAGGCCCAGATACTAATAAGCTGCGTATCCGGGTAAAATACGCATAGAATAACGCATTGAAAAATAATTGTTGCGTACCAATTATGCATTTAAAATGTTAGATACGCAGAAAGTTTAAAACAAATGCGTACAAAATATATTTATAAAATTTGCTTGCGTAATGAAAAAGACATCGATTGCTATCAAGTTGTACTGTTAGTATAGGACAAGTGTTGTACTGTCAGTATAGGATTTTTTATGAAATCATTTCCATTATATTTAAGTTGGTTTTGATTACCGCCTCGTTTTCTATTGACTGATAGTTTACAGTAACATCGGTAGGTTCTGTATTATATTTTACTGACGACTGCGTCAGAATTCGTCCCGTTATATTATTGTGCATGTTTGAACTTGATCGCCGGGAAACATGTGCACAGCTGATTGCTATTTCCGGCTCAGATACAAATGGTAATCTTAATTCCGTGCAAATAATACAATGCCCAGCAAAAACAACTTAGAAGTTAAAAGGTAAATAATCTTGTCTAGTGATGTTTATTTGCAAATCTGATGTCTCTACTGACAAAGTCGTCTTCTGTTGTTTGTTCACGCGAAGTGATACGATGTTCTTTTCTTTCCCCTGGAAAAAAGTTTGACCAAAGCGTAACCCATGGATAAGACGACCCCCTTCTACAGACTGCTTTTTTTGGTCCTCAAAATTCGGCTTATAGACGGTAATATACGGTAGGTATGACATAAGGCAGAACATACCTGCTTAGTAAACTTACTCAATGGCATATACTTAGGTGAGTAAAATACGCACATATTTGAAAGCAGTGGGTAACAGAAAAAGAAATACCCCCTCAACATTCATAATACCCACTCCAAACAAATATAGTGGGTACAGTACCCACATGAGCTAAATCTTATCTGGAGCTCTGGCTGTATCGATCCACAAGATGTATGCTCAAAGCGCATACTGAATAAAAGTATTCACATTACAAACATCGCGATTTAATCCCTTACATCCAATCCGTACTGTAAAGTATATATTTTTTACTTCTATTGTCCATGTTATATAGCCAGTATCATCTAAAGATTTTACTGTTATGAAACTCTGGTGACGTAATCTATTTCAGAAATAACATTTGACATCATACCATGGCATATATCATTTTATATGAAAAACTAGAAACACTGATCCCAATATTTTAAGAGAGGATACCTTTGGGCACACAGCCTAAAGAGGACTGTTCGATGTCTAATATTCTCCTTGAATGTGTCACGTCACTGATTTGATTTGTGAAAATCCATTAATATGTTTAAGTCTTAAGCATAAACTGGTATAAGAGTAAACATGATAAGTTTGAAGTTGATACATTGGGCAAACAATGTTCAAATGAGAAAACAACAATTCCAAGGCTATGAAAACAGGAAACCCATCAAAGTGAATCAATAATTGAAAGAAGTGTCTTAGAGGTATTTACATGCATCCGAGGCTGCTGCTGCAACCACTAGACTTAATACAGCTCAGCTGAGGACTGGTTGGGTATCTGTTTGTCCCTGTCTCAGAGCCCCATTGACAAAAACATGATTGGGGTTTTTTTTCAGATTGAATCATCAAACTTACCAGCTGATCCATATTTGGGGGAGAATTCACAGCAGGTCACACCAAGATCGTGGCCATCTAGTTCGTACGCCAGCTCACGCCCGTGTCCAAATTTGGCATCCCACACACGCAGATGTCCATCTGTGCTCCCCGACACGACAAAGTAGCTGTCTGGAGTAAAGGCACAAGCTGCGACCATCTCGTCATGACCGGAGAAACATCTGCAGCAAACAAAGAGCATTATCTGTAGTTGTTATGTCTGTTGTTTAATATCGCAGCAGCAGTGTTCAAGCTATATGGTGTCAGTTCATGTCTGGACCAGACAATCCAGTGAGTCATATCATGAACGTAGATCTCCACCATTGGGATACAATGACATGTACCAACCAAGTCAGCCAGAAATGTCTCTTTTCCTGATGCATAAACCTACCATGTGTAAGGCTGATGGGGCAATAGAGAGTGAGTGAGTAAACGTTACTTTAAGCCACATCAGCGATATTGTGGCTATTCACAGCAAGATTGTTGTTTGATTGATTGTTGTTTGACGCCGCACTCAGCAATATTCCAGATGTATGGCGGTGTCTGTAAATAATCAAGTCTGGACCAGACAATCCAGTGATCAAAATCATGAGCATCGATCTGCACAATTGGGATACGATGACATGTGTGTCAACCAATGAGCATAGGTTGCCAATTGCCAATTCTAACCCAGATCTTCTCAAGGCAGTAGTACTAGTAGAACAGATGTTAAAACACTATGCTCACAACCAGAAAGACCTAGATTTGATTTCTGTCACAATTAAATTGTTAATAATGTTAACCTCTTTGGATTTGGATCAGGTCTCCGACCTCAGATCAGTGACCGGTGATTTGAATCCCATAACAGTTTTAGCCACTACAAAGACAAGGTAGGCATTTGGAAACAATAAAATTATGTGAAACAGGAGATTGGGGAAAAACATCTGAAAACAAATTTATCACTGCCTCATGATCATTTTTAAATGCGAAGAGTTACTTACTTGAGGAGTTTGCGAGAAGAAACTTCCCAAAGGCACAAGGTATTGTCATCTCCTCCGGACACTATCTGAGAAGAATCGGGAGAGAAGTGACACACACGGATTCCGTTTTTACTTGGATGTTGGATGACCCCAACTTGATCCCCTGTCTTAACATCCCACAGTATCAACTTCCCGTCTGTAGAACACGAAGCCAAGGTGTTTCCAAACGGTGAAAACACACAACAGTTAACATAATAGGCATGTCCTAGCAGAGGTGACGACGGAAGCTCCGTAAAGTCTTCCGTGCTCCATATCCGGACAGTCTTGTCTCCGGAACATGTGGCAAGTTTGTCGTGGGTAAAGGCTACACAGTTTATATCTGAACCATGGGAGGTGATCGTATGAATTAAACTTGCAACCATATTCGCCATATCTTTGTTACCTGTTCACAAAGAAACAAAAGAATCTTACATCATGTATCTTATAAAAATAATAATAACAATAAAGTGCCTAGGATCCATCGAAAGGTGCTCGTTTGTGCTATGAGAAAGTTAAAACCAAGTCAATGTACACTGACTATGTACAAATATAAACTACCCAGAAAATCTACTGAAAGTGAACAGGAGAGGTGAATTTTGGACAGAAACAGAAGAAATACAAGAATACACTGATACAGATGCATTAACCATGTTAACCATGAAAATACACTAATGGAAACGAATAAGGGAACACCTGAAAGTACACGTTCCTTCATTCTTTTCCAGGGTTCTTCACATGCTTTGTATTGCACTGTGGGTGAAACTCTGGAAAAGAATACAGGAACACTTGTACGAATAAGGTGTTCCCTTATTCGTTTCAACGAGTATATTTTTTTAGAGTAATCAATACCCATTATCAGATACATCAGTTACAGGAGAGTAATTGTCTTAAAGATTACTGTTATTATTTGTCCTACGCTCGTACAGTATCGATAGGAATTTAAAAATACCAGTAGTATTGACGATAGTTTCAATATCAAAGTTGAAGGAGGTTTGTTTTGGTTGGCACATATTACTCCAGATTGGAGTTGGATTGAGTTGCCACTGGGAAGGAGCTATATTTCATTCACTTCTAGTACACTGCTCGTCACGCCCAAGACCCGGGTTCGAATCCCCACATGGGTACAATGAGTGAAGCCCATTTCTGGTGTCCCCCGCAGTGATATTGCTGGAATATTGCTAAAAGCGGCGTAAAACCAAACTCAGTCAGTCAGTCAGTCTAGTACACTGATTAATATTATTATTCAATCCAGTTTACTAGTATCACAACACCAATATGACAGTTGAGAGCCAAAGAAACACTATTGCAAGTGTAGGCAACTACTGTAAAGCAACTGCAAGAGTAAAAATAGCTCTAATGGTCACCTCTTATCAATTGTTTATCTATCAACAGTAAACAGGGTTCAAAAGGCATGCTGCTCCCCAAGATGATGTCACTGTCAGCAAACAATAGTTACAATCAAATATCAGGAACTGACTCGCCAGTGAGGAAAATGATCCACAACAAAGTGTCAGTTGCTTCATTTTTGTTCAGTTCCATAAACTCCCTACTTTACTGTATCAACACGTTTAACAAAATGAAGGTCATGTAACTTTTGTAAGTAAAGAAATGGCAGAACCAGATACATCAGTGACTAAGTAAAGATAATTTCACCAATAGCCATAGAATTAGTCACATCTCGGATACTGCATAGTCTTTATGGCTAAACACAACAGTACTAATCAAAATATAAGTGAAATGCTAATCCATGTAATCCCACAGATTATATAAGCTCCACAGGAAAACTGATCAGCATTTCCTAAACAGGATTGAAAACATCAGTCAAGAACCAACTTAGCAGAGATCAAAATACATAAAGCTGCATGTTTTGAGTTTTCACCTATCTGTATGTGACGAGTTAAAGGAATACTTTCCTCTGTAAAACAGTTCCTCCCTATTTGCTAACCTATTTATTAACATGATTAAGGCTATGATTCAAGAGTACATTGCCTTAGGGTGACCAGGTAAAGATTGCTTTGTTGTCAATTAAATTAATTCGGGAGAAAATGGTACACTGAAAGTCACATTTGAAAAATACTTAAAATTATTTGATTCAATATACATGTATAATATGACCACGATGTGACAATAATGAACAAGGTTCAAACCTGGTACTGCGAGATTTCCCCAGTCACATTATAAATCCAATCTAAATATCTCTCTGGTATCGATATAGGCAAACACCTTTGTCAAAACTTCAATCCATCTGTAGAGGATCTCCACATAAATAGTCCATTCAAAACAGGGACATTTTCCCCAATTCCATCTTAAACTGCCAACTGCGGCAGTCTTTGGGAATAAATCACAGGCTCTCCCCACTGTAGTAATATCGGTACTGATCTATCAGCGTTACTCGACTATTGATTTTTCCGTGAAAGTGTGAGATTCGATCAAGCTTAGGCTTTATTGGAACCTCGGTACCCCGTTACCGACTCAACTGGTCGAATTCCCCATCGACTAGTTTGTGTCATCACCCGACAACACCGAAATGCCATCGACTACTGGGAAAGTGACGAGAGGGCGACATTGCAGAATGTCAACAAAAAAACGCAAATGGAATTCAATAAACATGTTGACCTATTGTTTTAGGAGAAATCTTTCGCTCATTAAACGTGGCCCATCCCACTCATACCCTCTCCGAATATACCCATATGATTGTCATGTCCGAACTAAAACTTGTAGCCATAGAAAAATACTATTTTTATACTACCTTTCCGCGCTTGTTTAGCTATTGTCGGCCATCTTGTTTGCCAAGGTCATGTGATCATTAGGTCACATGACTATTTCGAAATCTGTTGGGCCACATTCAGCGCACGCAACAGAACAATGGACTTATAATGCCAGTGTGCGGCCGTGCATAACATTAAACCTGCATTTTAAGCTTTGGAGTCCTCGTTTCTTAATACAAACTTCATGGAACCAGAATGTCTATATGTAACCCACATGTAAACATGCAGCACATCAGCAGTATAATATGAAACATGCCTTATACCGCCTATATGGTCTCTGCCTTAGTCAAAGTACGTCCTTGCCTTAGTCAATATGGTATCAGACATATTAGTGTCAACAATTTATTAAGGAGACATTAGTACTAGCACTTTCTAGATTTTAAAGAAACTTTAGACTTGAGTTTAAAGAAACTCTATAAAGGAAGACCCGCGTACAAAACCACTACATAGGGATGTGTTGATGGACATGCAGTTTTATAAAAGTTGTCTATATTATATCGAAAGCAGTTTTTGAAAACGAGTTAAAATTTGATCCGCATGGCCTACCCTTAAGATCCGGGTTAGAATTGGTCTTCGGTAACCCATGCTTGTCGTAAGAGGCGACTAACGGAATCGGGTAGTCAGGCTCGCTGACTTGATTGACACATGTCATCGGTTCCCAATTGCGTAGATCAATGCACATGATGCTGATCACTGGATAATCTAGCCCAAACTCGATTATTACAGACTGCCGCCATATAGCTTTAATATTGCTTAACTATAGATCCCCTTGAAAACAAATGTATCTACTGCAAACTATGCGCACATGACCCTCCCATAAATATCTGGGTAAGAATGTTTGGTCTTCAGAAACCCATGCGTGTCGTAAGAGGCGACTAACGGGATCGGGTGGTCAAACTCGCTGACTTGGTTGGGTCACACATGCCATCGTTTCCCAACTGCGTAGATCAATGCTCATGATGTTGATCACTGGATTGTGTAGGCCAGACATGATTATTTACAGACCGTCACTAACTGACAATTTGCTGCGCTCGGCGTTAATCAACAAACAGACAAACAAACAAACAAATTACACATGACCATCTCTCACTAGTGCCTTTACAACCAGATATCTACCCGTGAAGGTCCGGGTTAGAATGAACCTTCAGTAACCCATGCTTATCGTAAGAGGCAACTAACGGGATCGGGTGGTCAGGCTCGCTGGGTTGGTTGACACATGTCATCGGTTCCCCATTGCGCAGATCGATGCTCATGCTGTTGATCACTGGATTGTCAGGTCCAGACTCGATTATTTACAGACCGCCGCCATATAGCTGGAATATTGCTGAGTGCGGCGTAAAATAAACTCACTCACTCACTCACAACCACATATCAACACTACAACCCATGGCTTGACCATTCCAGATGTGATTGGAAACATCCAGCGACTGTCTGATATTCTCAATCAGGATACATCGATCTGACAAAGTGACCGTACTTACCTGACTTTTTAACACCGTGTTCTCACCCAGGCAACCAGCCGTGCATGCGCAATGGTGCTGAACGTAAACCCGGACCAATAATTCGCCACTTTACTTCTTCACATCAACAATGATAAACGAGGTCCCTCGTGATTTTCCGGTCTAATTTCGCCGCTGAAACCAAAGCCGCCCAAGAGTGCGAAATCCAGTTTGGTCCATTTAACACAATGTACATTTCTGTCGGTAAATATGGAAAATGAAGCTTCCTAGGTCAGATTCATTTTGTATCTGACACTGTCAACCTTTTCATCTGACACTGTTACCATTCTCATATAGCGCTTCTCACACTGCCCCGAAGTTTGAATCTATCAGATTTATCGACCACCAGACATCCCTCTGCCAAGACGCAGCCTGCGTTATCGAAGCTGTGAACAAATCATTCACATCATGTGTTCTAATTTGAAGAGTCGGACCGCTGAAAGACGCTCATCGGATCGCGTCTTCTGTATAATAGATTTTGATGATATACTCTCGGGTTTATTTCCACTATCAAGTAAAATCCAATGCTTACATCAGAATATCCATTTCTGGTCGAGACGTGCACATATTATGTTGACGCTAGAATGTCACACACACAAATGTTCTGATTCTGAAGAGGCGGTGGGGTAGCCTAGTGGTTAAAGCGTTGGCTCGTCACGCCGAAGACCCAGGTTCGATTCCCCACATGGGTACAATGTGTGAAGCCCATTTCTGGTGTCCCCCGCCATGACATTGCTGGAATATTGCTAAAAAACTAAATTCACCCACTCTCACTCACTCACTCACTCACCCTCATTCTGCAGCATGCATACATTGCCGGTATCATGCAGGTGACTGGATGTTGTTTAACGCCGTAACGAGCAATATCCAAACCATGTCAAGGCGACCTGAACAGACACCGACCTGTACCTAACAAACGAGTGGTCGAAAGCATGAACAATGACGCTAAGAAGTCGATGACAGTCAGTTAATTAAGTCAATACGAACCATTTAACATTCTAACCAGTTACATGGCACCTACACATATGCGGATCCAGAGGGGGATGGGGGTAGGGGGTGCGCACGACCCCCACCCCCCGTTTGTTCTGAAAGTTTATTAAATGACCATTGAAACTCTCGTGAAAATGAAGTGTGCATCCCTCCTTTCTCAATAGTGTGCACCCCCAATTCTCAAAAAGCTGCATCCGTCCCCTGCTACATTCACTGTCATTGTCCAGCCAACCAACATGAACCACAGATGGACCACACACGCCTATCGCTCCTGTGACGTATTGTATGTAGTCATTTTCTGATTTTGTTTTTTTGTTTTCTTATTTACAGGTCTGACCTTGGTGTTACAGGAGCTGACTTTAAGGTAACTCTTTTAGGACTATGTTGACTGTCCTTCCTGCATCCCTGTATCACGACGCTATCTTTGAGGCGATGCGATACTTTGGCATGTACTTAAACAGCCGTAGATCGCCTCGCGGAAAGGACCGAATAAAAGACATGTGTTTTATTCAATGCTTACAACAAACATGATTTCAAATAGAAATGATCGCATGATTTGTGGTTTATAATGATGAATGCATACATAGGCTCTTCTAAAACTTAATTTTCACATTGGCCTTCGTCGCTTCTATTGATCTGGTTGGGCACAATGTGTGAAGCCCATTTCTGGTGTCCCCGCCGTGATGTTGCTGGAATATTGCTAAAAGCGGCGTAAAACCAAACTCAGTTAGTCAGTATATTGATTTGGCAGTGACGGTCATCTATTGACTGATCCTGAGGAAAATGGTCAATACACCGGAAATGACCAGATAACCCATGGCGCCACATCCACGCCAATCTAATTACGCTGAACACACCAACTCGTGCCCTACATACAAATCAGCTGATCGTTCTATTTTGGCAGTCACGTTGTTGTGAAAGTATTACTCTACGGAGGCAGATCTTTAATTTGAAAAGAAAATATTTCTTCCCTAAAGAAAGGTTATCGGGTTCTTGTTGTTCTTGGCCATACGCTCCTGCATGGTTCCGGGAACTGTGGGAAAACGAAAATGATATTATGAAGAGTGGAAAGCTTTTGTAGTACACACAAGTCAATCATTTCATCAGGACTGACCTCCCCGTCAAGTAATTCGCCTCGTAAAACAACAGTTACTATACTTCTGACGGATTCAAATCTTTATAATTCAAAATTTATCATTAAAATAACTTAATAGCTCAATAATAATTTGTGAAAACGTCATTTTAAAAACAAAATATGTGTTTATTGGACCTGGACCTCGTCGACACTGAGTGCGCCATCAGACGAGTTACTTCCGCCATTACCCGAGACTAAAGGTTCCTGGAAACAGGTTTATTTTTGTATATAATTTTTATTAAACCAACATCCGACTTAGCCTAGTCCTCGTATGACAGGTCATATTGGCGGGTGCGGCGTTCGAAAACAAAAAATAATTAAATTTCAGGAAAATTTTGTGATTAACAGGTGCTACCGGCAGAGCAGTGAATGCCATTCGCGAGCACCCTATGTCATCACTGATTGAAGATATCCATTTATACTAGTTAAGTGGCGTGGGGTAGTCTGAGGGTTAAAGCGTTCGCTCGTCACGCCTAAAACCCGGGTTCGATTCCTTACATGGGTACTATGTGTGAAGCCCATTTCTGGTGTCCCCGGCCGTGATATTGCTGGAATATTGCTAAAAGCGACGTAAAACTTAACTCACTCACACGTCACTAGTTTGCTTTTCACGCCTAATGGAATCACTTTCGACCAATAATCGAGACTGGTTATCCTCTGGCCTTGACGTTTTACACTAAAGTGTATGCAACCTTGCGCACTGCCATTAAGAGACGGGAAGCTGATGATACACCGAAAAGGCATCTGGATCAGAAATAATTCAAAGAATATATCTAAAATGTTTGATTGGTACAAAGGGCTGGCACGGGTAACTACGATACCCGGGACGGGTGGGTAATGAGTTGGACCCGGGTACCCGTCTCAATACCCGGACCCGTTATGATCATGTGACCAATAGATTAAACAATGTATTTATGTTATTCTTTCATGATTAAAAGGTTGTATTGTCTTTGAAGATTTAGGCATAATTACAGTCACTTCTTTTGAATATAATACATGGTTAAGATTTTGAAAAACTCGAAATTTAAGCCTCCGAGCTGAAGAATATATTGCCATTTCTTACAAATTACCACAGCGGGTATCCGGGTAGGGTAAGGGGTGGGTTACCCGGGTAGACAATTTGGACCCGTCCCAGCCCTAAGTGCTACTTGTCAAATCGTCACACCCTCTCTAATGCAACTCACCCTTTCCTTTTCTAATTATTATAAGGTCGGCTCGACAATGTGTAAACTGAATAGGAAAGCCACACAGTTCTCACCATAGCGGTCTACAGCCGGATGATGTTCACAGATCGTTAAGCGTTTACGTACATTAAGGTCACGATAAATGTACTACACATAGAGTAATTTTTTGTGAAGATGCTTCCATGCATGTCGTGTAAAATGTTACGTCAATTGGATGTCTTTAAGATGGGGAACTCACCAAAAGTTACTATCAAGAAATTAATGGACTGAGGCACAAACAAAAACATCTTGGCTTCTTGCATGTATGCATGCATTTTTCGTCGGCAGTTGATCAATAAAAATTTTGTTTGTTTGTTTGTTTTGTTGTTTAAGGTCGCTTACCCATATTCGAGGTATATATGTGTAAGCAGGTCAGTAAGTCTGCGAGTATTGACAAGACAAACCGCTGATTGATATCATGAACACTCTTTCACGGAGTAAAATGAAAAGTAACACAAACGCTGACGTAACTGACAACTTGAAAGTATTGACGTAAAACATCAAGTAGTGACTAGCAGATAAAATATTCGATACTGTTGTATCCTTTTTGGGTGTTGGAGAAAATCGTTTAAAGAAGATTACATTTTACCAGTAGCTAATGGCCATTCTATTACGTTACAATTGCTTAAGACAGCATGAACTACCGTGCACAATACATAAATGTATTGAAACGACGCCAGTTTTCGCCAAAGTGTTTGATAGTTTACGCTACGACCGACCAATATAAGACATCTAATTCGATATCTTACACCAAATAACACCCACTGACAATCTCGTTATTCAACATGTGGTAAAATGCCTTTTATTAAATCACCAAGACCCACTCATTCACGGATCCGTTTTCTTAAGCTCGGGCGAATTTAATATCGGGTATCGAATGACAGGTCTACCCGCCACCCCTAATCACACAAATAGACCCGGCTTCCGTCCCTCGTCGATGAAAGGTTTGGGGGTAACAAAAGCATTTATGATTTGAGAGTGAAGGGAAGACTTCTCAAAGGACAGGGGCCCGTTGCCCGAAACAGCAAACATGGCGGCCACCGATTCAGAAAGTATACATGATAATATGACAAGACTTCGTATGCGTATGGTACAACAGGTGAGAGTAGATTTAGTTCAGTTTAAAAGATTTAACTTAGAAAATTGACATATTATCTGTAAAGCCTGGTGTGATGGGCTTCCTATGCGCGCCACACTTGTTTGGCTATGTTATGAAGAGTAAACAACAATGATTAAGTGGTTGTCAGTAGGGACAGGTATTGAAAAGAAATGCGTTTAGAGATGTGAAAGGTCAGTTATACGAAAAACGTTGATTTTATGATATAAAGGAATATCTCTGAACGCTCTAGTTTGTAATTAACCACTTAATCATGGAAACATGTCTCTTAATTGTCACTTAAGCGATCAATCCGATTTTCAAGGTTCTGCCATTTTGTTTCGCTTAGTAAACAGTATGATAGAATCGCCATACATATAGTATAAGTTCCTTATGTTAGAGCTTAGCAGGGGGTGTAGTAAAACATGTAATATAAAGTCAATTTCATGTTCCTAAACAGGTCAATTTAACTTGGGCAGTGCGACACCAATGTCATTGTTACCTCTTGAATCTGCACTGTTGAATTCAGAAACGGAGTTGACACAAATGACCTTTAAATCAGGATGATAATGAAATATAAGATTTGCTAGAACAAGAATGGCATTACATGTAGTGTATATGTAAACTGGCGATCTTTTGTTTTAAGGTTCTTTTCCATACCAATCTCTCAGGCATATATGATACATATCTAGTTATGATATACGGTTTCACATGCTGTTGAATTCTAAGCACAGGGTTGATAATAACCATAACGAGAATATATTAGAATATTTGACTGAGTAAAATATAATGACGAGCTCTGCTATGTAAACTGTTGGTCTGTGGTAGTGAGGTGACCATCAATGGTGCTTCGCTGTGCCAAGCTCACAGATGTCTAAGATACATATATAGTTAAGATACCTTTTGATACCTGTTGAACACAAAGTGTTGATGAAAAAGAAATTAATTTGTTTATATCGAAATCTTTGACTTTGAATAATGAAAACAAAATCTAATATATAAACTGCTAATCTATTGTCTTAAGGTGAACATCAAAGGTGGTTTATTGAAGCGAACTCCTACCGTGCAACATGCATACCTAGTGATGTTAAATTATATGTAAACTGGCTGTTAAATTATAATTTAAACTGATGTTAAACCTTTTGAACTGTTAAATCAAGAATAGAGAAATTTCAAAACATGTCAGCTGGCATTGGAATGTGTTATTCAGTGAATATTGATGACAACAAACTCTTCATAAGCTGCTGACAGTCTTTACTGTCTTTACCGACGTTTAGGAAAGATCCTCAGTGTCGATATTATTGTGATTGAGTATATTTATTTCAAACCCTCTATTTAACTAGTATGTCAGAGTGGCAGACAAAGGTAGCTGCACTACATTGCTGTGTCGAAGATGAAAGGACCTACCTAAATACTTCGAGTTATATGAGGTGCGACCGAAAACTACAAATGATGTAGAAGCTTCTATTTGTGATAACCGGAAGTTCGACACACCACAGTTATGACAGAACGGCGAGTGATCTTAATGTTGTATTCCGTAGATACGAATGCAGTTCTAATCTCTTAAGAGTGATATTTATTCGTGGTGAATTCATGATTGACATATTACGCGAATGGCAAAATTTGGATATTGCCTCTCTCAGCTGATCTGGTAATCCATTGTCCTTGTGTGTTTGTTGTGCACTAAGATCAAGTCATTTCTCTCAGCTGAGATGTGAAGGCTTCGTGATTGACGTATTCATATTATAAATTTTCATCGTTTTTTCTTTGTTCACGAGAATCTCCATAAATCCGACTGTATCGGCAACAGCTAGTTAGTTTGACCAATAGAGAGTGTTCGAGTTACACACAGAATACCAGCAAAGCAGTCTAAAATGACATGGCGACGTATTATGACAATCTCACATGACACTATAAAATAACAACCTGACATTGCCTGGAAGTAATATATAAGGAACTGTAAGGTGACAGTTTAGGATGACTTTCTACATGAACAGTTTAACCGGATACAAACGCACGACAATCTAGCATGGCACCGAGACATGTATGTCTAACTTGACAGTTTAGCATGACGTTCTCCTGTGATGATCTAACTGGCAGCTTTGCGAAACCATGACAACCAAGCATGACAATCAAGCATGAGATTTGGTCTGTGGTCAGAATTATCATCTCTAAAGTTGCATTACACACACACACACACACACACACACACACACACACACACACACACACACACACACACACACACACACACACACACACACACACACACACACACACACACACTTGCAACATTCAACATATTAAGGATTTCACGCCATCAAGATATACACTGATAACAGTTGACATTCCAAATAACTAACCTTTCAAAAGCTACCTGTGAATACATAATTTTATCATGTGATACTCTAATTAGAGTTCAAGTTAAAGGCCCATCATGTATACGTACTGATGCTATACATGTACTCAAGCACTGTATTTAGGCTCAGCTATCTTGCCATCATATATGGCATTGGTTTTAAAAACAATGTTTTTAACAACAATTTTTTGAACAATTGTGTCCAGGTTTATAAAAAGAAATAACATGTAGCTGCCCTGAATAAGAAAATAACAGACAGACAGACAAAATAGTTTATTTATGTGTCACGTGAATGAATGGCAGTGGAACATAAAAAATACAAACACCAGGCCAGATGGCCAATGAGACACACTAGACAATATGTGCATAAAATGTATCAAATATAAGATTAAAACATGAAGGAGTATCACACTTATGGGGAAAAAAAAGTTATTGGGATGATAGCTTACGCCGATACATACGGCCAACTAAAGCGGCCAGTGGATTAACAATATGTTCTGTTTTGTAACAGGAATGTAGCTTGTTCAGTGTTTGATAACTGAGCAAAATTTGGGTGTAAGATACTAGATTTTCTAAACAAACCATACCGAAGATCAGAATAATAAGGACAGCTAACTAAGAAATGGACTTCGTTCATAACAATGATTTGGTTCGACTTAAAAGAAAATGTTTTTCTAGACGTAGAAATCCTCCAAGCATTAAATGTTATTGTTGTAAATATTTAACAGGTTACCATGCACATACCAACGTATAAATCTTGCTTCATACACTTAGCTAGCCACCTTTCAAACCAATATAAAATCCGCCCTCGTCATTCGTGCCATCACACTTCACATCACACCCTATAAACCACGTACTATAAATTGTCACTATTATTTCAGATCGGTATGTATGTTTGCCCAGCCATTTGGCCGTGTATTTACAATACACACTGCTTCACTGTCCGTCCAGTCGCAGTTGTTTGTTCAGGCCGGGAATCATGTGTTGAAGGAACTAGCATATATGGAGATAACATTGGTATCTTTACCGTATTTCAACATATAAAATTAACCTTCGTTATTCCGGAAACCTCCTATGTGAACGATAACCGTTTGGAACGGGTTTGTAAATATATACAGAGGAAATGACTAACTAACAATGATTCTTTGATGGAGGTTTGTCAACATGGATCATTTCACTGCTGCCGAATAATTGATAGAAAGCAAATCCTCCTGATTTCGGGACATTCCGGCGTAGTCCGCAGAACTAGATTACCGGTTACAATGAACGTCCTTCATCACTCAGAGTATGAAAAGATGTCTAAGTAATATTGGGTACTTTAACATGTAATTTCTTTGCATCATGGTTTATAAAGGAGATAATATGCAAAGAATAGGTAATAGCCTTACCATTGCCTGTTATAGTGAAATTGAAATCATTTCATGAAGAAATCAACCCAACACAAAGGATGAAATCACAACACAAAGGATGAAAGTACAACACAAAGGAATGAAATCGCAACACAAAGGAATGAAATCACAAGACAAAGGAATGAAATCACAAGACAAAGGAATGAAATCACAACACAAAGGAATGAACGTACAACACAAAGGAATTAAATAAAAAACAAAAGAATGAAATCATGACACAAAGGAATGAAATCGCAACACAAAGGAATGAAATCACAAGACAAAGGAATGAAATCACAACACAAAGGAATGAAATCACAACACAAAGGAATGAACGTACAACACAAAGGAATTAAATAAAAAACAAAAGAATGAAATCATGACACAAAGGAATGAAATCACAACACAAAGGAATGAAAGTACAACACAAAGGAATGAAATCACAACACAAAGGAATGAAATCACAACACAGAGGAATGAACGTACAACACAAAAGAATGATATAGCAGAAAGGAATGAAATCACAACACAAAGGAATGAACGTACAACACAAAGGAATGAAATCACAACACAGAGGAATGAAAGTACAACACAGAGGAATGGAAATACAACACAAAGGAATGAAATCATCGCAGAAAGGAATGAAATCACAACACAAAGGAATGAAATCACGAGACAAAGGAATGAAATCACAACACAGAGGAATGAAAGTACAACACAAAGGAATGAAAGTACAACACAAAGGAATGAAATCACAACACAGAGGAATGAAAGTACAACACAAAGGAATGAAAGTACAACACAAAGGAATGAAATCACAACACAAAGGAATGAAATAAAAAACAAAAGAATGAAATCACAACACAAAGGAATGAAATCATAGCACAAAAAAATAAAAGCACAACACAAAGGAATGAAATCACAACACAAAGGAATGAAATAAAAAACAAAAGAATGAAATCATGACACAAAGGAATGAAATCATAGCACAAAAGAATAAAAGCACAACACAAAGGAATGAAATCACAACACCAAGGAATGAAATAAAAAACAAAAGAATGAAATCATGACACAAAGGAATGAAATCATAGCACAAAAGAATAAAAACACAACAGAAAGGAATGAACTCACAACACAAAAGAATGAAATCCAAACACGAAGGAAAGAAATGAAAAATCTTAATGTAAATCCAAAAGATGAATTCTGTCGATCTTGAATTTGCCAGTACAACCGCATTACAATCACATCACATCATA